AAGCCAGGGAGCCTGAGGGAGGCTGTGAAGCTAGTGGAATGATTCCCTGTGTAGCTGAAACTATGTAAGTATTAGATATTTGCTTAGAAGATCACTTGCCCAGCATCAACTGTTAGAGCAGTGATTGCTTCTGGTTCCACAGTTGCAATGATCCTCTCGAGCCTCCCCAGTGGAAAGCTTTGTGTGTGTTCAGAGCTGAGAAACGTTGTGGCACCCATCGTGCTCTCAGCTATTTTAGAAGTCATGGGTCTCTGTCCACTAAAAAGGTAGATAACGCTTGTGAAATTCTACAAAATTCTTCCAGACTATGCTCATGCATTTGCAAAAGGTTGAGGCTTAGTCAAGCTCCAGCAATGTTGTCTTTGCCTTAGCTAGTGAACTGCTACTTGGGAAGGGATTTAACGGTTGGCTGTGCCCTGTCGTCTTTTGTTACAAGATTTCCTAAATTTCTTTGAGATGTTCCTAAGTGTATGGAGGGCTTTTTCCTCTTCTCAACTGATACTTTCTGCATTTTGAAACTAATTGTAAATACTTTCTGATGCAACACATTATTAAATGGCATAGTGGTTGGCTGTGTTTGGTTGTTTTCTGAATGTATCCAATAATTTATATTGCTACAGTAACGTCAGTCATTAAAGAGAAATACAGGGTTACTTAAATATCTCCTCTGCATCTTCTGCACGCTCTCCCTCACTTCACTGCTGCTGTTTTCAATTGTGCCATGGTGTGCTTGTGTGAGAATTATTACTGAGTCACTTTGTTGTTTTGCTCCCTTCAAGTCTTGGGCTACACATGATCTGTGTCACTTGAAAATGGAGGAAAAACTAATTTCCTTACAGGACTTAAAAAAAACCCACTTATACAACACACTAACCTCTCCCAGTGCCCCTCGCCCCAATACAGAAAGCTCCACCAAGCATTGGCAAGGTATTTCCAATCTTCTATACATTTTTGGTTCAATCTGTTGGGCAATTTGGTTCTACTCATCCTTTGTCCTCAGAGGATGGCTGTCCTTTAACTGGCTGTATTCACCAGCACTATTCTTCCTGTATTTCCAGTTGCTTAGTCCCTTCTGGAGGGGAGCAGAGAACATCATTGTTGATCTCTGCTTTGCAGTTCCTGTTTTGTGGAAGATGGCCTCATGGGCATCTTGGTGATTCATATTTACTGTAGGTTATTGCTCCAGACTTGTCTGAGTAATCAGATGTCTTTGAGAGTACTGCATCCTGTAGCACTGAGTAGGTTCCAACCTTAGCCCTGAATTTTGGTCTTTTTTAGTAGAATGGCAAAACTAGTGGTCAGCACTGCCTTTTGTCTCACTGTTGTGTTGTATGCTGTTACAGTAATTTTGCTCTTGGGAACTGATCCTTTTAGGAATGGATGCTTTGCCATCAATTCAGTGTAACCTTTGTGTACATGAGAACTTTATACTTGTAGTTCGTGATTCAAGTGGGAGAAATATCTCTGCATGTCCTTGTGCTCACTTTACTGTAATTGGCATGACCTAGACGTGACATTGGCTTTTCTCTGTGGTCAAATGAGCAGCTCTGGTGGCTTTCCTGAGAGGGCTTTTTCCTACTCCTTGAATGCTGAGTTCAGTGCAGCTCCTGATGCTGCAATTGGATCCTCTCTCCAGCCTTCCTTAACAGAAGAGGCGAGCTCTCCCACTTGTTTCTGTCTCCTTCCGAGGCTCTTGTGCCTTTCATGCCTTGAAACCTGAGTCATGTAGGAAGCGGAGGTGACTAGTAAGTGAGGTGGATCCAGCTCATGAAGACATTTTATAAAAGGGTAACTGATGAAGCGCCAAAAGACTTTTCTCTTACAAAACCAGATACATGCACTAACTGCCAGCAGATGCAGTCTGACTTTTTGGGTTGGGTTGTTTTTTTGGTGGTTTTTTTTTTTTTCCCCCTAGCTGGTTTTGTTATTTTTGAGGTAGAATGCTTCAGAGTATCTGGCACATGGCATCAAGTTGCATGTAGTAGAAAAGTGAGGAATTGCAGCAACTGTACTTCAGTATCATCTACTGTGTTTTTGTTTCGTTTTTTTCCATAACAAATAGGATTGTGCTCTGAAAACCTCCTTGGCAGGGAGGAGGAAAGAAGAACTCAGTTGTTGCAGGGAGGAGCAGAGCTAGCAGAGCCCAGGCAGTGGCTGTTCAGGAGCAGCAGTCAGCTGATGGCAAGGCAAGTAGGTCTGAGTACAGCAAAGTTGTTTGTTAGAGGGGTATGCTGTGGGGGATGTGGTTAACTTCCACTCTATGGGTTAATGCTACTGTGCTCTCCAGTGCTTTTTCAGAAACAGCTTTTGGGGCACTTCCTCACATACAGGTGTTTAATAATGCTCCTGACCTTCCCTGTGTCTATTGTAATGCTGTCTTTCCATGACAGCAAATGACAATAAACCCCATGTGTTTCATCAGACTGGTGATGTCACTCTGTAGACTATAATATTGGATTGTTTTGATCATTAATACGAGCCGTTGCTTAGAAGGCTTGACAGTGTGAATCACTCCTGTTAGGAAAACTTATGGACAGAGTATGTATGTTAGTCTTGCAGAATGTCTTCTTTTAAAGTTGGGGTTTTTTTTTTTTTGTTTTTTTAATTTGGATTCCTAAAGTGAATTGGATTCCTCTCTGTCCATTATGCTGTGTGAGTTTTGACTACTACCAGCTACTTTAGAGGAAAGGACCATTCACTAACGGGCAGCTTTAACTTGCCCATGGGGAAAACCTGTTCCAAATCCCCAGCAGCTAATAAATGCTGTTATGCGTTTGAGGAGTAAGTTTTATAAACTAGCTAGACTCTACTTTTAAATGCTAATAGTATTTTTTCCTCAGGATTTTTTTTTATTCTGTTCCTTTACTAGCATGCTTCTCTCTAAAGAGTGCTTAGCCAAAGTCGTGCCAGCTGCCTTCAAGAAACTGATGGAAGAACAGGAATTAGTGTGGACTGAGCATTTAAATTCTGATTAATTTAAATGGGGGCAGTGGGAGGGAAGGCTGGTATCTGGGAGTTAATCACTAAGCAGTAATTTACACTGCCTAATAATATCCTGTTTGTTTTGGTCTAATGAAAAAATGTCTGGTGTAGGGTGGATCAGATGCTGGTGCTCAGATGCATGGCAGCAGAGGAACCGGTGCCAGGTTGTACTCTGCAATACACAAAGAGCTGAGAAGTACTAAGGACCAGTGAAATTGTCTTTTGGGGTGCTTATGTGGAAATACTTTTTTTCATGAATCCTTTAAAATAAAAATGAATAAGAAATTATTCTTTAATACATTCAATTGAACTTTTCTTGCCTATGAAAATGATGCGACAAAGTTCATCTTTAAAGCAGTTTGATGAAAGGATGTACCAGATACTTCTGCTGCTTAAAACCCTTTTTTTGTTAGTTTTTTTTGCCAGTTATGGGCTTAAGAAAAGGGATTAGGAAGGGGAAGGGAAAACCAGCGTGTTTGCTGTTGTAGTTGTAGTGGCAAAAAGGTTATTTTTTTTCCCCTTGTGAAACTGAAGAGGTGCTGTTTTGCCAGAACAGGTATAATGGCTGAGAGAAGATTTGTGTTTGTAACCCTAATATCTGGAGAATTCTTCTGTGCTCTTCCAAGAGGGTTTAAAGGTTAAAACAGAGGTTTGGTCTCAGAAGAGCTTTACCCAAGAAAAAAAAGATGAAAATGGCCATATTTATTTTATTTCTTCATTTTTATTTTTTTTCTTGTTCTAATTCTGTAACCTGGAAGCAGTAAACAACAACAAGGCAAAGGCAATTTCTATGTTTAAGGCTTTTGCCTAACTGACTGTGGAGATGAAATGCGAATAAGTGGGTAAAGGAGGAATATGATAAGCAATTGCTTTCTTGGAGTTGATGTTTCTGAGAAATGGACTGTCCACGGCGTGGCTGCATGCTGATAGGATAGTGTCAGAGTGCTAGCTTAGTTTTAATATGGAAAATGTAAGAAACCCTCTCTGTGGGTAAAATTTCTTTTCCAAATATGCAGGTCTTTAACATTGTGACTTATAAAAGCAGAGTGTGATGCAATCATTTTGGCATTTTAATTTTGATTTTTTAAAATAAAGCTGAACTGGAATTACAACAACTTATCTGCTTGCATATCTGTTTCAAAAAGTTCGATTAGAGGCCCCCTCCCCCTGTCTGTCTTGTTACCTGCAGGGAGGAGCCCACTTGAAACAAGGTAGGATTCCTAAACACCATCTTGCATAAAAAATGAGTGTTGCCTCCTTTCTGCAAACAAACCCTGTGTGTGTTTTAAGAACAAAAACCTAGATTCCAAACTGTTAAAAACAAACAAACAAACAAAAAAAAAACAAAACCCGAACCAAACCCACAACTTCCCTGCCCCCTTTCCCCCACAAAAAAACCCAACAAACCCAACCCCAGAAGCCCCTTCTTCCCATTTGCTGAAGTTGCAGTCTAAATGTAATGCTTGAGTCTCTGCTGGGTTGTCCTATCAGTGTTCCTGGGTCCCACCCCTGCTTTGTTTCTGTGTTTTATATTCTATACATAAAATGTGGGTATACTTTTAAAAACCATTTCCTTTAAAAAAAATTCTGGGTTAGAGTAGTCTGTCTTGGTGAAGCCCGTACATGAATCAACCTCTTTGTAACCTATGTTACAGTAAGAATTTTAGGAATTTCCTTTATTAGGACCCGTTAGTATACTGCAGCCACTGAGTGAGCTGCATTGATTTCTAGGTAAAACAGCTTGAAATTGCCTGAAATTTATGGCATATGCCAAGCTTCTCTACACTACTCCTTTTCAGTACGCAAAATTTAAATATCCTGAAGTCGGTCTCTTGCTGGTGAATGTTATCCCACGATTAATACTTAAAATATTCTTTGTGGAGAAACAGCAATCTGACTCTGAAACTGTTTTTCAGGTTAGTTGACTGCCGCTAATGGCATGGTGAGATGTGTTGAAGAGCAGCTGCGAGGGTGTCTGACGGCAAGGGGACTGCTCTAGAAGCTGGGCTTGCAACATCATGGGCCAGTGTGTCACAAAGTGCAAGAATCCTTCTTCTACCCTTGGCAGCAAAAATGGAGAAAGGGAATCTGGCAGCAAGTCTCATAGTAAGAGAAGTGCAGTCCACAAAGATGACTATGGTTCAGCTTGCGGGAAGTCTTCAGGAGATATACTTGTGAACGGGACAAAGAAAACAGATGCTGCTGTAGAGTCTAGTCAGCCTCCAACGTTTTCTGGAGATACAAAGAAAGATTCTATTTCCAGCCCAGAGGAATCTTCGCTCCAAAGGATTGGGGAGTTATTTAGGAGGTATAAGGATGAACGGGAAGATGCCATATTGGAAGAAGGAATGGAACGATTTTGCAATGACCTCTGTGTTGATCCCACTGAATTTAAAGTGCTAGTTTTGGCTTGGAAATTCCAGGCTGCTACCATGTGCAAATTTACAAGGTTAGTTCTTGTAGAACTTGTAATTATTTTCATATGTTAAAGTATATCCTGTCATCTGTATGTTGGAGAGACAGCTTCATTAGCTTCACATACTTATTTCTTCTCACACTTGCATTTTGATCAAATTAATTTCTACCACTGCAAAAGGTAAGCTTTGTGTTGTCCTTTTTTCCCCTTCCCCTCCTAGTGGATTTCAGAACTGAGAATGTGATTTTGGGTGGTATGCTGCTGATGACGAACAGCATAGTGAGATTCCGTAGACGTTAATTTATTCTTGATTTACCAAAAGCAGTTTTAGTGTATCCAGCATGATTTGGTGATGAGATTGGACACAAATTAATTTTTGCTTTAAAGTAATGTGAGATTTCTTAGTAATTGCTACCAAATCTTAAATCTGTGAAAGAGAATTACAGGCTGCTTCCTAAGAATTGTTCCTGCCCAGCTAGTATTACACTTAATGTCTGTTTCCGAGAGCAATCCTATTAAAGCAGAGAGGAAGGAAATGGCAGGTTTCTGACTCGGGTAGCTGTTTCATACTGGCTGACATGCAATTGGTATTTCTAGGCTGTCTGTCCATCTGCAGAGGGGGGCCAGTCAGCAGACTTACAGCAGGTGCAATGCTGCAGGAAACAACAGAATAGCTAAAGCATACCAGAAAAAAAAAAACATCAAAACCCAACCAAACAGCTGAACAACCACAAAAAACTGAACAGAAATCCCCCAAGCCAAACCCCAAATGACAAACAGTCCCTTCCAACTTGACTAAAGTAAAAACTTACTACAGACTTGCTAAGAGAGAATGACTTTTTTTTTTTTTTTTTGGTCTACCTAGATTGCTTTGAGTAATGCTACCTAATTTTGCTCAGCTTATAACTTTCAAAATTACTTTGGTGTTCTGAGCCTTGACCCCAGCCGCTGCCATGCACTGCACACAGGTAGCTTCTCCAGCATCTTCAGAGTCTTTGTGGATGTGAGTGTGTGTCAGGTGGGTGAGTTACTCTGGAATGCAGGTGGGGATTTACTAGAGGCTGATGGCACAGGTATCTGCTAACACGGGAAAAAATTCAACAAGCATCCGTGATTCTGCACAACCACCGTGAGTTTTGTTAACATGGGTTTGATTTTCCTGAAGAAGGCAAATCTAGTGGTGAGAAGCTACCTTTGTTTAAGGGCATGCTCAGTAATATGGGTGCTAATCATCTTCCACCAGGGAAAGCAATCTGGTCTTCTGTTCTCCTGAGCACTGCCCTCTCTCCCATCTTTCCTCCATCCTGTCCCACATCAGAGTCTCCCGGCTTTGGTTAATATTGGCTGGTTATAATGCTTGCTCATGAGCATTAGAGAAATCAGAGATAACCATCTACCAACTTGCCAGGTTATTAGTGGGCTAATTAGTACAGGACTGGTGCTTTGAGCTGTGTTTATATGTTGCATGGTAGCCTGTGTTGTGTGAAGCTGGACTCTCTTCCGCTCTCAGCTGGTGCCTTGCTGACCGCTGCCGTTGGCACCCTTTTTATTTTGCAGGCTGGAAGAGCGACCAAAAACCACAGGAAAGCCCTCAGTGAACTGCTGTGTCCCTCGAACAGCTCGCCCAGAGCATGGGCATTTAGGCACGGGCAGTACTGAAGCTGGTTTATATATGGCACTTCAGTGTGTAAAAGACATGTGTTCAAACATACCGCATGTGCTCCTGGTAAATTTCCTTCGCTTTTGAATGTGAAGGCACTGGATGTGGTACTACGATCAAGTAGTCAGAAACAGACAGCAAAATTTTTCAGATGCTAACAGTGCCCCAGCAGGTCTGAGGGGAGTATGTGGTTCCCAGAGACCATGAGGAATTTCTGGAAAGTGTCTCTTTCCAGTAGCTCCTGTTGCCAAAATCTTTGTGCCACCTGGGCTGAGAGTGCACCTTGCCTTGTCCGGATAACTCTCCTGATTTCATGTGGCTGAAGGAGGAGGGAAGTGTTCAGCACGTGAGGTCGGTGGGCAGCACTCACGCTAATTTCTCTTCTCTTGCTTTCTAGGAAGGAGTTTTTTGAAGGCTGCAGAGCAATAAATGCAGACAGCATTGATGGCATTTGTGCGAGGTTCCCCAGCCTCTTAAACGAAGCCAAGCAGGAAGATAAGTTCAAGGATCTCTATCGTTTCACCTTCCAGTTCGGCCTGGACTCTGAAGAAGGACAGAGGTCGCTGCATCGGGAAATAGCCATTGCCCTTTGGAAATTAGTCTTCACCCAAAACAAACCCCCCATTTTGGACCAGTGGTTACATTTCCTCATCGAGAACCCCTCAGGAATCAAGGGAATCTCCCGGGACACGTGGAACATGTTCCTAAATTTTACTCAGGTGATCGGACCGGACCTTAGCAACTACAGCGAGGACGAGGCCTGGCCAAGTCTCTTCGACACCTTTGTGGAGTGGGAAATGGAGCGAAGGAAAAAGGAAGAGGAAACCAAATGTGTTACAGCTTCGGACACGGGGGGCCCGCCTGCCGAGGAGCAGACTTAGCGGCACCGCAGCGGCAGCGAGAGCCACCTCTTGCCCTTCATGAAATGTAAACTCTGGATGTTTCTGGAAATTACCGAGGCTCCAGATTTTTCTACTTTACACCTTTTTCTGCCTTGTCTTTGAAAGGGCTCTAAAATGCTGTATCATGTTTTAGGCACTTTCTTAATTTTGGTTATTCCTTTTACTTTTGCCCTGAAATATTTGACCCTGGCTACAAGTTAAGCGTGGTTTTTTTTTGGTTTTTTTTTTTTTTTTTTTAAGACTTCAGATTAGTATAAGTAAGTCTGATGTTTCTTGCACAATGTAGATCTTTTTAGTTAGATTAAATTAACATTGCTAAATTATACAGTGCCAGATTAAGTTTTTCATACTATATCTGTCAGGGCAGGTCTGTACTGTGTGTAGTGCTGTTTACATTGTTGAAATTTTAGGCTGTAATAATTTTAAGGTTTTATACCAAGATGAACAGCAGTGTTAACTGTTAACTATAAATGCATTAATTTCCCAGTAATAAGGCTCTAAAAAAACCAACCAACCAAATCACAACATAAGCAACAGCTTTTTATACTATGGCTAATTCCCATTTAAAGCTAATTCTTAGTGAATGAGTCCAGATAATTCCTTTTTTGGAGCTTCAGATGAAATATTTGTATTGTTTTATAAAATTACTGTACCTGTCAGTCAACTGAGTGGTAGATGACAATTTGTATCTAAATATCTTACACATTGCATAATGAAAGAGCAGTACTACCTCAGTTTTATTGAAAGTGGACTTCTTGATGGACTTCCATTTTCTCTGGAAGTTGTATTTTTGTGGTTACATAAGAATATTTTTACTTGACTAAAAGAACCAAAGGTTCTGCTTCTTAAGTTAGCTGAACATTGACAGAAGCAACACACAAACCCTAAGTCTTCAAGGAAAACTGTGGTATAATTCTGCTTTAATTTGTTTGATTTATACCTAAAGTATGACCTTACTTGTCTGGCAAGCACAGTACTTCTATGTAAGGAACTATCTTTTTGCATTAATATCGATGAACCAATTTTTTTAAAAGCTATGTTTAATTGCTAAATTGCAGTTAATACTCCACACTTTCTGGAGCAACAATATTGGCATCTGATGACAAAGTGAATTCTTAATATGTTCTTAATGACAACAGTGTAGATGAGTCATTTTTAGACTGATTTGATAATATTTGGATAGGAGTCAATTTATTATTTTATAATGCCTGTATTGGGACTATTTGCCTGTTGAAACTGTTGTGACTTAAAGGGAGTTTTATTAACACTGGTTGAAACTTTTTTGGTTATTGATGCTACCTTTTTTAATTTTAGTATGTCAACTTTTTTACACCTTTTGGTAAAAGGGATGATTGCCAAGGCTTTCTGTAGAGCTAAGCACTGGCTTAATGAATTTGATATACTTCCATTACACACCTTTCATTTTCAGAGCTGCATTTCAGGATCATAAAATGGCTTCAATTAAAAAAAAAAACAACAAACAAAAACCAACCAACCAACCAAACAAAAAACCTAAACAAAACAAGAACCTCTGGACAGTCATCCATAGGATCTAATGGCTTTTGTGATAGAAGAGTTTTAAAGCTAAAGGGAAAGAACTTGTCTCTGGATGCAGAGTGACATGCTGGGCACATCTGCTGTGCCCCAGAGGGGTGAGCAGAGAGCAGGATCTGCCTGAACTCGGTCACTGGCTTTACTGGTGTGCAGCCTATGCAATAGCTTGAGTCTGGGATCATAAATCAATAACAAAATGTTGGTATTGAAAACTGTTTTTAAACAAACCCACAAGTCACTAGTGGCATCTCTTTCATCTAGTAAAAGGAGAGGGAGTTTGGTCCATGCTGCTTCTGCATCCTCTTGCTGGGAGGCAAGTTAAGCTGTGGAAAACAAGTGTAGTTGAGCAGCTGAGTCTGTCCTTTTGCAGGAGAGGAGCCCTGAACTTGCTCTATTATAGGTAAATATACCCAAAACTTTCTTTGCCTTCTAAGGCAAAACTTTCATAACCTTCCAAGGTATCATGGCACAAGCACTGTTTGGCAGTAAAACCTTATTCTGATTTGGTGAGCAAAGTAGGCTGAAGTACTTGTGCTGGTATAAGTGAATTTATGGCAAGACTTTTGCTGGTGCTGTTATTTTAAAAAAAGAAAAAGAATTCCCCAACAGAGGCTGCTTTGTTAGCAGAAGTTCCAAATGGAGACCCATTTGATAGTAAACCAAGACTGCATTTATAAGTTTGAGAGTAATCATTCATTCAGCTATTAAATTATCTGTTCATCCCTTTTTTTTCCTAAAGCAAGTTTAAAATGTCTGGAGTGTGCTGACTGTCTGTTCAAGTGGAGAGGCAGTGCATGCACATGCCCACAGAGTCACAGCAGCGGCTGCTGCTGGTTTATATGCTGGACTGCAGCAGCTCCAGAGGATGAGGGACAGAGCCCTCCAAGGAAGGTGCTTATCTTGTGGTCTGAATGTGGATAGCAGTAAGGAAATCAGTCTGTAGAACATCGAGGCTTTACCATTTTAGCATGTCAAATGTAATACAGCCTCTTTTAAAGATGGTGGTGGGGAGTATAGAGGAAGGGAAAAATCTTAGTTCCTGTTGGGGAGGGAACATTCAGTTCTCAGTGGCTTAGGTCCCTTTAGGTCCCATACTTGCAGCACAAGAGGACAGCCTTGCTCCTGTTTGGCTGTGCTTGGCCTAGCAGGAGCAACTCTGACTTTGGGTAGAATACTTGCAAAACCAGCCCAATTACCTATCTAGTAAACTACATTTGCTTTTAGCCTAACTTCAGTTTTTTGATTACCATTTGCAGAACGCAAACCAGACCCGTGTCAGTGTTAAACTCCTGAGTCAGGAGCTGGAGGTGCAGCTCTTTGGCAGTGCTCAAAGTGAGAGGGGGCATCAGACCTTGCCTTGGATTGCCTGGTGATTTTGTGATCCTAGAGGAGAAATAGACTGCTCTGGAACGCTGGTGTGCCTCCATGCGAGCAGGGGTCTGTACGTCCTTCTGAGAAGTCTTGAACCATACTGGAGCCTCTGAAAATATGCTTGTTTAATTGTTAAACTGTGAATATCTGTGGAACAGGCCAAACACATTCACTCTTCATTTTTATATAATTTAAATACTTGTTGTGTAGGGCACAGGACTGTAGTGAACAGTGAGGCTGGTGAAATCTTTGAAACCATTGCAACTATTTGTTTTTTTTTAACTAGACTATACATTAGAAAACTTTATGCATGTAGTGAAACTGCTGCAACTTGGGATAAATAACTATAGATAACTATATAGATAGTTGTAGTGATATACTGGAAAACTGGTCTGACATCCACACCCTGGCAATTTGCTGCCTTCCCTTACACACAAAGAAATATAATTCCTGTAAACTTTAGTCCCTAGTAATAAACGAGTGACCACCTACACCATATTATAGTTTGCAACACCTTTAAAATTTGGCTCCCAGATCAACTGGAGGCTCAGTTGTGCTAATCTTTACTTGTGAGGGTACATTTCTGAGGTCAAAGACTATTTATTAATTCAAGTAAAGATTGGAAAGATTCTGCCCGTAGCTGGCCATAAATCATAACTGAGGAAGTCAATGGAACGCCGCATTGCGAGTTCACTGGCTGCTGGTGCTATTCTATGTGGAGAATGCCAGTTTTCTAATACTGTGCCACCGTGATGAAAGAACCCCAGGACAAAGGGAGTGGCAGGTGGCTGCTGAGGGCTGGAGCCACTGGCGGTTTGCCCCCCCGGGCACTGCTCCTGGTGGCAGCTCTGCTGGTAGGGGGGCTCTGAGCCGCTGCAGCGCCCCAGCCCAGCACCTTCCAGAGCAGGGAAGGGGCTCCCCCTGCGCCTGAGGGCAGCGTGGCTGCCAGGTGGGGTTCACGGGGCTGGGGGCAGCAGCAGCTTTGCCTGTGTGGCTGACTTGTCCTTGCATGTCCCTCAGAGCCTGAAGAGCCCACAGATCCTAGGGCTGGCCTGTCACTTGTGGTTCCCAGACGTGGCTATGCACTGACTAGTGACCTTAGTATTTTCCAGACACTGTCATAATAGGTATCTTCCTTACAGCTCAAAGCCTGGTTTCCAAGAAAAGCCCAGCAAAGTTAAAGAAACACCATGTAGTTAATAGCCACCTCAGTCATAATGTAATTTGTTGGCTGAAGTTACATCATTCCCATTCATTGGAAAAATAATAGTCATTGTGAGTTTCTGGGTCTTGCAGCCTTGTGTTCTGCAGTGTGATCCTTTTTTTAGAAGATCCTTGGTAAACTGGGCACCTGGTTCTTCCCTTGAGATCACTCTGCTCAAAATATGTGCATGTGAATTTAGCCTTTCATATTAAAAAGGAAGATGCTGAACCTGAAACTCAAAATTCTTCAGGGTAGTGTTTGAATATATAGCAAAACAAATATTTTTTCAAATAAGTATTAGAAGCTAAGTGCTTAAATTTTGTTGTGTGCGTACAAAACCACCAGTGTTAAAATTTTCCCTCTGAAGTACTGAAGATTGAATCTTTGGTTTTATATTGTCAGCTGAAGTAAAATACATGAGATTGTAAGACAGAAGGCTGTAACTCCTTCACCATGAAGTACACAGGTATCTCTACCTCTTCTTCTTAGACTTGAATACGTTAAGGTTACCATCCTTTTCTCCCAGGATTTTATGCCTGGATGAGTATTCTGTTTTTTTCTTTTTCAAGTAACCCAAGTTAAGTATTATCTATTTGCCATACTTTTTGGTGTATTGCTTTTAATCTGCATGCAATTGACCCTTTGAAAGGGAGCCAAGTCAAGCTGCAAAAGTGTTGGTCCTCCTGGGTGCTAGTTTTGGAGTGCAATAGAGTGACCGACTAGAGCTACACTGTGTGTGGCTCAGGAGCTTTTATCACACATCCCTCCCCTGGCCAGGCTGCCTGTACTGACAATAAATTGAAGATGGAGCAGCTGCTCCCAAGAGGGAGCCATCAGCCTTTCCATTTGCTCTTGAAAAACCTGAGGAACCCACCTGATGCAATGCCCTGAGTATATTTCTCTTTTGATTAAAAATGCTGTGTTTTGTTCCATGTTGGACTGGACCTGTAAAACCCAACACAGGAGCTGCAAAAGCCTGAAGGCCACATTTCCTCCCTGAGGTCAGGATCTTGATCAGGATAAGACCCTTACACGTGGAGCAAAGCTGGAGCGTTCTCAAGTGTATTGGAGATGAC